AAGTGTGAAAAAGTGTGACCAATACAATTTGTAATGCTGTGGAAGCGAAATCCGTTGGTTAAAAAAAAAGAGACATAAATGACAGCATTGTCCTGTGATATATGTACATCCACTCCAGGACATTTAATAAATGTGTGTTTTAAAAAAAGTTTATTTCTTGAAAAGGTGAAATGCACTCATAGTTAAAGAAACACTTGTATATGGCATCTGGTAAAGCTGAAAGACAAGTTTCTCCTGACTCATCACAGGCAGGCGCCAGACACACACATGTACGATCAATCATCAAAAGAAAGATGAATAGAAATATTTCTGCAATGGCAAGGTCAAACTGAAAGAAATTCCACACTGCAAAGAAGCACAGCAGTGACAATATCCACTTGAAAAGGGTATATCAGTGTAGACACAGAAATAGTTTAGACAGGCTACGTGCTTTCAGTTGAGCATCAAATCAATGTCTTCATTCATTCATGAGCAATTAACAACAAGTGTAGCGCAACCCCGTTTATTAGCAGAGCTCAGGGGGTTGTGTGCGAGTCTGTGTGTCCAAACTCATCCATTACGCTGGTAAAGTGGCAGAAAATCCCAGCAACTGAAGCATGGTGCGTTAGTGACAGAACTCTAGAGCGCATAATTTCCTTTCCACGTTGCCGAACTTGTGAGTGCACATCAGGAAATACACGGCGGACACGACCAGCCAACGCTAACCGCAATTACAGCTAACAAAACGCGACAGATCGCAGCTGAACGCCTGGCTGAGGACTCAGTTATGTGTAGATGTACAGTACAAGTACAGTGTGTCTGAGGCAAGTATGAGATGATATAGTGGGGAAAGAACTAATTTGCTGCCTCTGCAGTTTTTATGACCCAGACTGAATCTGCATGCTGTTTTCAGACTCTCTGCGCTAATTTTCCATATCTGCAAAGATCTTCAACATTGTAACGCTTTATTGATTGAATATTAAAAAACAATCTAGGGTGGGGTCTTGGTTCAATCCATCGGTTGTTGATGTAAAAAAGGGACGTGGTTTATGCAGAGAAAATTATTAGAGATGTCCAGCATACATCACCAGAGATAAAGTCTGTCATTTCACCGGGAAATAATAAAATAATAAATAAATAAATAAAATGAAGGATATGCATGGATGATGAATACTAAAGATTTGATGACACATTTGTGATTTATAATGACCTGAAATCTATAGTAAAGTCATGAATGTTTTTGTTTTGTTAACTTTTATGGTATCTAAAACATTTGAAATCCCTGACAAATATTTTGTATACCTGTATACTGCATATAAAGAATATATACCTTTATAAACCGCCATCCTTTTGTTACAACGTACTTTGGGAGGGTTCAAGCTAGGCTTGGGCGGTAATACGGTAATATCGTATACCGCGGGATCTAAAAATGGCAACGGTATCAGTTTCAATATCGTCATACCGTCATAAAAAAAAATCCAATGCACTTATATAGGAGAAAAGGATTAAATATTAAATATAATTTATTTAATGGCTAAAAATGCTTATGTGTGGTTGTCATCACGTGACAGTGTGGAGGAGAAAGAGTGGGGGAGAGAGGGGGAAAGATGGCAGGTTGCGCACCGAGTGACCTGGTCTCGAAGAAGAACACGACTTCTGCAGTTTGGCAGGGATGGGCATTTCAAGCAAAAATAATATTTGAAGATCGCCTGGTATTTGATTATTATTTGAAAATCGCACCCCTCCACCATATGCACGCACACATGCATGTAGGCTACACAGCTATACAGCAGAGCGGTGTGACACTTATTAAATAGGTTATAAGTAAAAAAAATAAATAAAAACTCATTTCTTTTCATATTTATGTTTAATAATATAATGTTGTTATTTTTTTTTTATTTCATCTATGTTGATTATATGAAAAGGAAACTGCATGAGATGAATAAGATAGGATCATAAGATGCCCAATATCGGAAAACATTTGGAATGGGTCAGACATGATTTTTGACCACTTATTACGTTTTGTTTTGTAGAAAGCCTTTCTTTAAAGTGAATTTCGTTTCGCATAAATTGTATCTTCATTTTAATCAATGTTTCATCAACGAATTGCCTGGATTAATAAATAAGAAGGATATATATTAGACAATATAAGCCGGCGCGTGAACTGGAGCGCGTCTCCTAAAAAGAACGAAACTCAGCGTATAAGATAGATGCCTTAAATATCTGAGAAGTGTATATATATAATAAGCTTGAAATGTCTACTTTTAAACAAAACAATTAAAAACTAAAAGAAATGGCCTGCTCTCTGTAGGCTAATTCATATGAAGTGTGCATTTCTATCTATGCGCGTTCACTACTGCGAAGATGCGAGTCTGCATCGTAAACTTTATCTGTGCAGCCACTGACATAGAACGTTTTTTATTAATAAACAATTCAAATGTTTCATGCATAATTACTTTTGCCGGTTCTTTGTGCCAAGCTTTATGCGTGCTTTGAGATGCAGAATAGGCAATATATTACGAAAACGCTCATTATGGTTTAGCATTCTCTCCTATATATATTTAAGTAATTTAATCAATATAAATATGTGATTAGACTAATGGCTTAAATCAACTACTACTAGTCAACTAGAAAAAAAAAACTTTAGTCGTGCACGGGCAGCCCTACTTCACATGTTTTCTAACCAGCATGTCACTGCGGGCGTTCTGAGCGCGCGCCGCTTAGTGGACTGGGCGAGCGGCGCGTGATCTTCAGAAATGCGCTCTCTGCTCTGGAGGAAATATTACCACTCCGCTCACATGCTCTGGTGTGAGACAATGTGCATCTTCTCCTGTTGTCTGAGAGTTGATTGACAGCTTTTAGATGCATTATTGGCATCGCCACCCTCTGGTTGAACGTGTCACCACCGCATCAGAACAAAAACATGGGGATTTTTTATAGACAATAATCCCACAACCTATTCCATATTCTATAATAAAATCAAATAATTGAATATTCGAAAATTGTGACTCATCCCTGCACAAACCAACAGTTTGGTGATGCCGTCTGAGCCTTATGTCATAATTTTTAATTAGTCACGCGGTAATACCGTATACCGCGGTAAAATAGGGAGGAGGTTTGACGGTATCAAAATTTGGATACCGCCCAAGCCTAGTTCAAGCCTTAATTAGGTGGGTCACAAACCCACAATCCCTCTAATTCGTACCCTAAACAAATTCAAAATCAACATGAAATATAGTTCCCATTTTACTTCTGTAACGCATATCGTGATATTCGATTAAATAAAAATGTAGACGGGACTTGGTTTTATCCATTGAACACTGACTGGAACTTGAAAAAAGCCCTTACAGACCAGAATGGAGCCAGGTGGTTATATTACAAATATATATTACAAAGACAAGCTTTTTCTTCTTCTTCTTTGTAACAACATGCACATGGAATTAGAAAGCAAACTGAGTCTATTTTGATATCATGTTGACAAAATTTTTAAAGTGCTTAAAAAGAAGCTGTAAAAGAATAAAATTGCGTAATTAATTACCTAATTTACCTGATTTTTTTTTAACAACATGATTCTGTGCATGATGGGTGTGTAAATTCTATGGAAATCTTAAAAAATACCTTTAGAATTTAACAGGAGCAGATCCTGTGTGGAACTATACAGTAGTAGGCCATATTGCAGCCTGAACATGACATGAGTCTTCTCTACCTCTCTGTATTGCAACCCAAAGTCTTCCTCTTACACATACTAATTCATTCATTACATACACACACACACACACACACGCTCTCTCTGCAATTCCTGAATATTGTATGCTCTCTCACTGACTTTCATGTTTCAGCATTGTGTGCATCATTTATACCAGACCAATTAACATCCCCCCTTAAACCTTGTGCCGCTTCAGCAAAGGCTGAATCTCATTTGATATTCTCTTTCATTTCTGCTGCTTGTACGGAGGATAACACCCACCTATCAATGACCACACACTACATCCCCTCTTCCAAAAGTGTAGTTCATAAACAACTGCAATAAACCTTGCTTAAACAGTCTCAAAGAGTAGTATTTTCTACTGTTGTTGTTAAAGCTGATTCAGTCTGGGTTTTGGTCAGTACTTTAAACCAGATCCTCTTGGATAACTCCATTTTAAAAAATTCTAATTTTAAAAGTGCCCCTAATATGTTATATTAAAGGTTCCTAATTTTGTTTAGGAGGTCTCCTACAATAGATTTACATGCATCCAAATTTTCTCATAACATACATTGCAGCATTATTGCTCTTCTCTAAACAGTCTGGTCTCTCTAAACCTGCTCTGATTGGTCAGATGGCCCAGTCTGTTGTGATTGATCTACCGATTACAGCACGTGCCGGAAACAAAATGTCCATTTCTGAATTTCAGCTCTGGACACTTCCTCAGCACTTGAATACACAGTGATACGAATAGTAATGATGGCGTCAGTCCAATATACCCTATCAATTCGAGCCCGAGTCCTCATCCTTTGGAAGTGCATGCAAGTGGATTTGTGCTTAAAACACATCTTTTCGACATGTTGAGAACACAAACCAAACTCGTCCACGCTTCAGCTACAACTGCAGTGTTTTAGGGCGGGCCAAAGTAAACGTTGTTCACGGGCAGACCATAGGCTGGCAATGCATTGTGCAAATTTGTTACAAACCTTCATAGGTTTGTACAGGAAGAAAGACTGGAATTATTGATGACTCGTTTCAGGCAGTTCAGAATCGGTTCGTTCTTTTGGGAGACCATAACTCCATTTATCGCGCACTTTGATCTTTAAAATGGTTAGAAACTTTTACATTCACAAACAACTATATAACACACTACTTGAAAGGAAATACCAAACAACCCTTAAAAATGTTCATGCCATGAAAAAATTGACTACGTTTTATGACACTAATTTTAAGCGAAAAAAAAAAAAAAAAGAGTAAAGATATCAGAGCCAGCCAAGCAACTTCCATTAGTGCTTAAGCAGTCTCTCCATATATTAAAAAATGACAAAAAGCCTACCTGGTCCCAGTCTATGCTTCTGAAGAACGTATGAGCCTTGATGTCTGTGAATCCGGTCTGAACTTGGCATCCCAGCCTCTCTTTCGGGTCCTGAACAGAACACACACCCTATTAATAACACACCTAACAAAAGCCAGATCTGGTGTAGAGAACTTCAAAAACATGAAACCTAATTTCATGTCCTCTTTATTTCAGAAGACTGGAGTTTAACCCGAAACACATTCACTAGCGCATACGTTATCTTGTGCTCTGAGATTTTAGACGAGGATTCAGGGGTCTTGGAGCAACTCGCTGCACTGATCTAGGCTCATTTAATCCCAATGAATCAGGCAGTGGCTAAGAGGGCTGATAACACTGATTACAGGCTGCTGTTGAGTTTGAGGAACCCCAGAGCTTCAATAAACGCAATTTGTCTTGACAATTAAAGGAAAAAGCTTCATTATTCATAGATTTAATCAAGAGACACGCACACAGGCAAACGAAAAGAAGTGTGCGCACCCTCAAGAGATCAGTTTTATCTGGAGGATGATGACCCTCCTAATAATAGCACATATATTTGTTCAATCAGAGGCAAACTGTGTGCACGTTTGTGTAGAGTTAAGACCCTCATTTATAAACCGCAGTGTGCAACGTTCATGAATTATGGCATTTTTTTCCCCTAAGAGCCTGTTTGTTTCTCATCCATTTTTCTCGTGTAATGGAGCGTAATAGTGATTATTAACTACTCATTACGTAAAGAATTTTGTAAGATGTAATTGAATCAGTCTGGCCAATACCAGTATTATCTTTTGTAGTCTTTAGAATACATTATTCATAGTTTATAATAATATACAAATATAAGAAAAATATATACATATACACACATACTGTTGCAACACTTTACAGTAAGGTTTCATTTGTTAACGTTAGTTAATGTATTACCTAACAATAACTAACCATAAGTTAGTTACCATGCAGTTCATTCTTAGTTCATGTTAACTAATGTAGTTAACTAATGTTAACTAATGAAACCTTATTGTAAAGGTTTTATATATATTTATTTATTCGAATAGGTTATTTATTCAAATAGAAAGAATCAAGCGTACCACTTGATTTGATTTGATTTGATTTATTCAACAATGATAACAAACACATATACAAACTTGCCGGAGGCGATTCATATACATTTCCATACAATTGTTGAGGATAAAAAAACACAATAAAGCCACAGGCTTATTTCCATTGTGGTCCTCTACATGCATAAAATGAGCGAACAGTTCCAGTGGGAATAAAACCAAAACAAGCAACTCATACCCTACAAATTCATATGGCATCTCAAATGGAAAGCCATTTTTTAACTTCTCTTTTAAAGGGCCCTGCTTCTTGTAATTGCTTTAAATTATCTGGCAATCCATTCCAAGCAATTGCACTCGAATACAAAAACGAATTCCTCCCAACTACACTTTTAAACCGGTACAGATATATATTATTCATCCTTGCCCTTGTAGAAATACAGTGAACATCTCTCACAAAATCATAATAGTCAAGCAAGTATTTAGGAACAGCCCTCTGAATTATTTTATGCACCATCTTGATTTTAATAAAAATTACTCTTTTATCCACTTTTAAAATTCCCAATTCTTTGAAATGGTTATCATTTAGATGCATACGAGGATGTGATCCCAAAATAATTCTACACAACCTATTCTGAGCAGTCTGTAATTTATTTTTGACATGTTTTTTAGAGCCACTATACCAAAAAGTTGCTGCATAGTCGAAATGTGGCTGCACTAATGCAACAGCTAACTTTGTCATTGTTTGTTTATCTAAATAAGCAGCCTGTCGAGCTAAAAATTTTATTCGATTATTTATTTTCGATAAAGCAGCAGCCGCCATGCTATCCCCAGTCATTTTGTTATCAAAAATACATCCTAAAAGTTTCACTTCTTGTTTAAAAGAAAAATGCTCATCTCCCACCCTTATTTCTAAATTTGGACATTTCTTCAATTTTGCAGTTGAACCGAATAAGATAGCCTCAGTTTTCCCTAAATGTAAAAATAGCTTATTTTTAAAGCACCAATTAGATACTTCTACTATTTCTCTTTTTAACTTGTTTTCTATTGTTTCTTTATTTTCATCAGTAACTATTATTACGGCATCGTCAGCATATAATGATAAGTGGCTCGAACAGGCCATCTTTAAATCATTTATATAAATTAAAAAAAGTAAGGGCCCCAATACACTACCTTGTGGTACTCCACAAGAGATCGGCAAAAATTCTGAGCACTTTCCATTTATATCGACCATTTGACACCTATTCGTAAGATAGGATTTGACCCATTTACATGAATTAGAATCAAATCCCATAGCATTTAATTTTAACAGCAGAATATTATGGTCGACTGTGTCGAAGGCTTTTCGTAAATCAAGCAAGACCATCCCACTTAGTTTACCTTTATCTATTCCTTTCTTTATATAATCCGTCAAATATAGAATAGTTGTCTCTGTGGAATGTAACTTTCTAAAACCAGACTGAAATTCATATAAAATATTAAAGTTGGAAATATATTCCTCAATTTGGTCAAATAATATTTTTTCTAAAATTTTAGATAAAGACGACAGGATTGACACAGGCCTATAATTATTACAATCAAGCCTACTCCCTTTTTTAAAAAGGGGGAAAATTTTAGCTTTTTTAAATTCAGCTGGTACCTTGTTCTGGCAAATAGAAAGATTTAAAATATGAGTAACCATAGGAGTTATAAAATTAGCAGCGTCTTTAATAAATTTAGCCGGGATATTATCCAGACCTGTGGCTTTATTGCACTTCAATTCACTTAGTTTCTTATAAACTATGTTCTCTGTTACTTTGCTAAATGAAAAACTTCCTAAGGCAACACCACAATTGTCATAATATTCTTTAACCAATTTATCGTCATATAAGTCTGATTGTGCTGGAAGCTCCTTTACTAAATTTTCACCCACCGAAGTAAAAAATTCATTAAAACAACTTGCTACCTTTTTCTGGTCTGTCATCAATTGACCGTTACTTATGAGACTAATTCTTGGTTCTTTACTTTTAACCTTTTGCCGATAGCCTAGACCACTCAAGATTCGCCATAGTTTTTTAGAGTCTTGTTTAGCTTCACTAATTTCATTCATCAAAAACATTTTTTTAGCCTCTTTAATTTTGCACCTAATCTCATTTCTTTTACGTTTAAATTTGATATAATTGTCTTCATTTCCATCTTTTTTGAATGATTTTAGGCTATTATTGCGTTCCTTAATATCTTTTAAAATACTATCGGTCATCCAGGGTTCTGTTCTTTGTTTAATTCTTATTTCTTTGTAAGGTGCTACTTTATTCAGAACTTGCACAAATCTCTTTTTAAACCTGTCCCAAACTGTATCCACATCATCAAACTGCATCACTTCTTTCCAATTGACCTTACTAAGCTCTTCAACAAAAAATTGTGGACAGTATCTTTTAAGTGATCTAATTTTTAATGTATTGTGATGACTTATAGCCTCTCTATTTAATTTCCTAACTACATACACCATATTATGATCACTTAAACCAAGCTCCAAAACACCACTTTTATATATCCTAGAAATGTCTGAAACCAGTATAATATCAATAATTGTACTGCTATTAGAGGTAATTCTGGTTGGGTCACTGATAATTTGTTTCAATGAATATGATTTGCAAAGTGAACTGTACTGCTTAAACACTGATGAGTCTTTCTTCAACATATCTGTATTTAAATCGCCCAAAATAATCAATTCTTGACCTAAAACATAATCAGACATATTTAAAACCTCATCCAAACTCTCATAAAAATCACTTTGATCCGGAGGACGATAGCAGATACCAACCAAAATCGGTTTGCTCTTAGGCAACAAAACTTCAAGCCAGAACGCCTCCACCTTAGAGTTAATAAAATCTCTTCTCTCATTACACACCAAATCTGACCTTATATATGCACACACACCACCTCCTTTCCGATTTCGATCTCGTCTGAACAAACAATAATTGTCAATTTGAATCTCTTCATCCAATACTGAATCATCAAGCCATGTTTCGCTGCAGCTGAACAACGCCACTTTAGATTCCTGACATAAATAGCGTAGTTCACTTATCTTTGGAAGAAGACTTCTGACGTTGAGGTGAGCCATATGCAAACCTTTCATTGATCTAAAAGATCTATAGCCACTTATCTTGCACGTCATCGCATCGTTGAGTAGGATATCTTCCTCGTCCTTCTCAGTAGATTTAAACAATTGGCTCCTCTGTTTCGTTCCTTCTTTCTCCGTATTCGAAAAAATCTCAGACACACCATAATCCATTTGATACACATCTCGTGTTTCATGACAAGGATGCAAATCACTCCACTGATCCGCCATCAAGTTCCACGCTGTCACAACTTCCGAACGCCGACATTGTTCCATGTCCATATTCCGACGATTCTCCTCGAAAAGAGTCGCGTTAACTCCTTCACCGCCTTCACATGACACCGGCCCAGGACATTGATGTATGTCTCCCGACACCAGCAAACACATTAAAATGATTAACAAATCACTCAAGTGTCTTTTATAGCCGCGTCTTTGGCTACGACTTGATTTTCTAGAACATATGCTCCATGGGTGATAGATCAATGAATAGATAACGTTCTTTCCAAAACCAAGATGTTTCAATCCTGAGGCAGGTTGCTGAATTTCATTTTTTAAAGTAAAAAAACGATTTTCCACTTCATTAAAACGCCATAAAAACGTATAAAATAGGGTGAAGATGCATAGTGTGATTGACACTCCACACCTGCCTGACGCCATCTTGCTGACTTAACTGACAGAATTTTTATAAAAATATGAAGTGAAATATAAAAAAAAGAAAAAATATATAAAACAGAATAGGTAAAATATTACAATACTTCAAATATATATTCATTTCTGTTGATGCTATAGCAAATGTTATGTTGTTATTTTCACTGAATCAGTTTTAATGAAGTAGAAATCACACCGACTGGCTTCGATGGAAGCATGACCTTAGAGTTCATGAAATGTTGAACTGTTTTTACAGAATCCTTTGATAACAGCACCTTACTTGGTGCTGGCGCATGCACTACTAGTTTATTCAATAGCACTAATAATGTAATTTTACTGAATGATATTTTTAATGTTTTTTGTTCTCTATAACCTCTTTTTCTCATCTCCTTGTGTTTTGCAAAAACATGACAGCTGTATTGCACTCTGCAGTGTTCGTTCGCATACCAAGTACATTCTGTTCTCACCTTGTTCAGAAAACCTTTCAGCACACTCGCAGCCTTAACAGACAATGACCTGGGAATCCGTATCGGCTTCTCCAAAATTACTGAAAGAGAGAGGGGAAAAAGAAACAGAAGATAAAAGAGTATGAGTCATTCTTGCAGAGTATGCCCGTCGTGTTGTGCGGCAGTGTCAGAGAGAGACAGGCTTTAACCCACACACACAAAATCTCTCGCTCATACACCCACACACTACAGACGCCTGAATAAGCCCTTCGATATTCAATCAAAGACTCAAAAGATTTCTCCCCGCTCCATGTTTATTTCTGTAAATTCATAAAATTCTGTCGCGGTGTTAAGTGGATTTAAAACACCCCACAAAAAGTAAAAAAAAATAAAAATAAAAAATGTCTTTTTAATACGTCTCATCCCAGCATTTTTGGATTTCTTTTACAGTTGCGTATCTTGGGAAACAGTCCAGAAGTAAAGCCTGTTAAATTTCATCTCGCTCTCAAAGACGGAGTGCAGACGAGCGTTTATCTTTCCCCTCTCTGAATGCCACATCCCCCTGTTTGTTTTCTTTTCCAAATCGAAAGCTAAAGGGATTTAGGTCTTGCAGGGGCTCTGCCCTGCTGCTGTGACGCGGTTTGGACGGCGGCCCGAAAGCGGCTAAAGTGTTGGCTCGGCGGTGGCAGCATCTGCCCTGCTCCTGGGTGGGCGGCGGAGCGCCGTGTAGGGCCGGGGGGAGGTTGGACCGGGACGACGCTGCAGCATATGGACGAACTGAGGTTTGGATTGGGGGAACGGAGTTCCGGTTGTGGAGAGAGATCCAGGTTCATGTTGTGTGTGTCTGTATGAACGAGAGTGATCCAGGAGCACGCTGCCCTCACGGCTGGAGCACCAGAGAACAGACAGGGAAGCAGATGACCACACACTCTCTGCTCTGGAGATTGAAGGGAGGCGAGGAAAGGGGGGATGAAAGAATGTCTCATTAAGGAATGGCACACATGCCGTGAAGGGCTCAGCAATACATATGAACATATCATCGCTGTCGGGCGGATATGTGTCCAAAAACACTACTTTCAAGGAAATTTTTATAACTTTATAAGTGCCTTTATATATGGTCAGACACTTGTCATTATATTATTAAAATTTGACCAAAATAAAGCTGAAATGGACCAGCGAATTTTAGGGAATTTCGGACATATGTGTTTTGTCCGTCATTAGAACAGCCGCATCTGAGGCAGCAAGTACATCACATTGCGTTTTAATCAACGTACACGTTATAAAAAAAATTTGTAGCTATGTGGGCACTCAGCAAAATCTCATGTTATTAAAAAATAAGTGCTACATACAGACTATTTAAGACTGTATTGGCTATGATTTGATGACAAATGCATCTATCGGTGACTAAGACATCTTCTACACTCTTCAAATACATAAAAAATGTGTCTTTAACTATATATATATATATATGTGCAACAAGCAGAGATGGTCCAAACTGTGTGCAGCACTTCATTCATGATAGAGGCGGGTGGAGTTATGACGTTTTACCAACAGTTTGAGGATCAAATGGAGCTACAAGGTTTAGTCACAAGCTCTTTTTAATACTTTTCTTTGCTTGAATACTTCAAAACCTCAAACATATGTAAAGGGTGACCAATAGTAGATTTATGAAAAAAAAAATGGTTACACTTTATTTTCATGGTCCAATTTAGACATTCTACTAAGTGAGTTTGCAACTACATGTTAACTAACTCTCAATAGAGTATTAGTAGACAGTAGTAGAATGTTAGAGTTGGGGTTAGTAGAATAAGTTGAATAGTTGCTAAGTTACTTATGGTTAGTAGAATGTCTAAAGTGGACGATCAAAAAGTGTTACCAACAAAATAAAAATAAAACTCTTCAAAAGTTTGTCCATTTCACTCTACCAGAATTGAACATACCTTCTATAATTTGTGGGAAAAAGATGAAGAGATTTGGTTACACTTTATTTTAAGGTGTCAGTGTTACTTATTAGAGTAATAATAATTAACTACATGTACTTACTATAGGGTTAAGGGTTAGGTTTTAGTTTAGGGTTAGTTACATGTAATTATGCACAAATTATAGTTATTACTATAGTAACTACATATAACATGTGTAACAAGGACATTGTAAAATAAAGTGTTACTAGAGATTTATATATATATATCGCTGCATCACTGTAAAAACTGTGAGTAGGTCCAAAATTAACACCTATCAAGCGCCAAATGGAAGTAAAAATTGGCTTTGGCGAGAATAAATAAAACTTCCGTAATACATGGTTTACATTGAACTAAACGTTGAATTCACAAGTAGTCACCTTGGAAGAGATATTCCTCTGTGTTCATGTCAGGATTGTCAGTGATGATGTCAAAGGGAGATCGACCTGCCATCATTTCAAACATGAGCACACCCAGGGCCCACCAGTCTACACTAAACCCTGAGACACAGAAAAAGAAGAGTTCAATCTTTATCAGTAGGATTCACATAACACTAAATATATACATTTTACTATGTTACTTATTGTGCAGTATTGACAGCAGGGGGTGTATGGATTCATGTAGTCACACCTACCGTAATCTTCTCCCCTCAGGATCTCTGGGGCGATGTAGTTGGGCGTCCCACAGAATGTGCTGGTGGTGTCACCTGGTCTGATTCCCTCCTGAAACAAAATCTGGTATGAGTTCTACCCTGTTTTAACAGTATTTTTTGACTTACTGAGAGATACATCTATGGCTACTTCTATTTGTGTTTAGTATTAGGTTCTACCTTGCACATGCCATAGTCTGTAAGTTTGATATGGCCATCCTGGTCCAATAGTACATTGTCCAGTTTTAAATCGCGGTAAATAATGCCCTTCTCATGCAGAAAATTAAGAGCGATGCAAATTTCAGCAGCATAAAATCTGCAGGAAACAGGAAAAAAGAAGTCATTGGCAAGACTCGTCATTTTAAAACATACAGATGAGGACTAATTGAAGATGAATTGTTGATTTCCACATTTAACACACAACCGTTCAAAAGTTTAGGGTCGGTAAGATTTGTTAATGTTAATTATCAAGACTGCATTTATTTATGTGATGCAAAGCTGAATTTTCAGCATCATTACTCTAGTTTTTAGTCACATGATCCTTCAGAAATCATTCAAATACGCTGATTTGCTGCTCAAGAAATATCTCTTATTGTTATACAGTATTAACAGTTGGGCTGAATAATATTGTGGTAATTCTGTGATATATTTTTTTTCCTGATTCTTTAATGAATATAATGTTCAAAAGAATGACATTGATCAGAAATCTTTTGTAAGATTATAATTTTCTTTACTGTCACTTTTGATCAATTTAATGTATCCTTGCTGAATAAAAGTATACATTTTTGTCAAAAAATACCTTTGGACAGTAATGTGAATTTTTTGTTTGTTTCCTATGATTCTGTTTCATGTTCAATATTTTTTTTTAACTCTTCATAAATTAAATTAATGTTGCTACTACTGTGTGCAAGTTATATGCCTTGTCTTTACTACCAATTTAATGCTTTGATAATTTAATGTTCTTGCTGAATATTGAAAAACAAAAACAAAATCTTACTGACCCCAAACTTTTAAATAGTAGTGTACAAGGCTTTAATACATTCGAGACCATGTGTCAACCAATCAGAATCAAGCATTCAACAATGCTGAGGTACTATAATCTGTACAATAATCTGTCCTTAAGCATCCTTTACCTGTATGACCATTAGCGATGTGACAAGCGTCCAGTGACAAGCAATTTCTTGAAATTACTAGCAAAAAAAAAAAACCGTGGAATGTTTTTTTTTACACTTTAGGTGTTCAGTTAAGTGGATTGGGATGTTGACCAATGAAATTTCACAGTGGCCTACCCAGCACAATGTCGCATATAAGGAAAAAAGCAACTGTCAATATAATGTAAAGTCAATATATGTGTGAAATTGACAGAACATTAGATAAACATGAACATAAACAATTTTTTGAGAGTTTCCCAAGCGGGAGCTGTGCATCTAACTGTCTCAACCCTGTTTAAAGTTAGAAAAAAAAAAGCAAATAAAAAGAAAGAAGGTGTTCAAAGTAGGACAAAATGAGTGGTGACATTTCCGAACAGGTTTCAGGTCTGGCAATCTGAATCTTTTGCTTCATGTCAGCGATCAGCAAGGGCTCGTGAGACCTTTAGGAGCAACTCATGAATATTTAGGCTCATTACTCGTAATTAGCATGTGGATTTGCATATGTGTGGTGTGCCGGACGCATATTGATAGGACCGGTCGGGGTGAGCTTGACTCAAATGATTAGCCTGCGTTTGATCTCAGTTTATCAGACGTGTGAAAGGGGGCATTACAACAGTGCTCAGATCAGTCGCTGTGACAGGATTCACATCATCTAACAGAGTAATATAGCCTAACAGAAGTGTATGAGATCTGCATTTAAACTAAGGGCGTGGCTTTAGTTCAATCATTAGCACGGACAATTTCAAGTTAAACTATAAAACTACACAGATGAGTTGTGCTTTTGAAGTCAGAGAGAGTCACTGGTGCCAGAGTGAATGCCGTGAGCCTAAAACGTGCACATTTTTATTTGTGTAAGAAATATTTTCTCTATTTGAATCATAAGAAACCATGAAATCATATTTTCACTGGGTTTTTTTTAACAAATAATGCAGCCTTGATAAGAATAAGAGACTAAAACATTAAATTTCAAAACGGTTTTACATTACATTTCAAATACATTGAAAAAATCGACCGGAACATTTGAACAGTAGTGTCCATTTATTTTGCTATCATAACTATATAGGCCCGTCCACACCATAAACGATAACTTTTTATATAACTATAACGATAAATACATTAGCGTCCACACCAGCGGACAATATCGTTCTGTTTATTCTAAGCACGTGCTTGTCTGTCACTTTAAATGCGCAAGCTCATTACAGCAGGATGGTTCTGATTGGCTGTCAAGGTTTTTATTGTTCATTAGCAGGATAAAAACGTTTTGAAAGTGATTCCAACAATATCGTTTCTCTGTGCCGTTATCATTATAGCTGTGGTGTGAGTTCCGCTATTCTTAAATATTGAGAAAGATTTTTAGCACTATATCTTTATTGTTATCTTTATAGTTATTGTCCTTGGTGTGAACGGGCCTTTAGGCTATATGGTTAATGGCTTTTTATTTTTCTGTATTTATTCATTTATAGTTGCTGCTGAACAGACCTGCAACCCATTTTTTGGCTAAGAATTGTTCATCTAGTGACCTACTCATTGTTCCTTTTCTCCTTCATCCATCCATCCAACCATCCAATCCCACATAAAATTAGGCCTAATCTAAATGGCCTCCTGAGTTGAAAATATCAACAATCTTTTTTTTTTAAATTGCACATACCTGGCATGTTCCTCTGGAAGCTTCCGCTGCCTCTGCATATGGAACATAAGATCTCCTCCATTCACATACTCAATCACTAGAAACAGCCTGAATGGAGAGCAGGAGACATTCATCATTTCTTAATAGTTTTTGTTTCAGATGTGCTGTATGTGAGAGATATACTGGCTATACTGTACGTTCACACTACGTTTGGTCATGTAAAAAAGATTGACAACCATGTTCTATAACTCAGAGACCTTAAATTCTCCACAGTCGAGTTACAAAACTAGTTGTCTGTTGCAAGTAATTTCTCACTATTGTTAGTACTGTCAACCTCTCAAGTTATGAAGAACAGCAGTAAATAGTGATATTGTGCAGATGAACAGCTAGGAAAAAAATCCAGTTAAGAGTTTCGGTGGAAGAAAAAAAAAAAAAGCGTTTGGCTGCATTTCAGAGGGAATGAAGACGGCAGGATTGTTCCAAAATGCCCAAAATAGCTCAGAAGAAAAGACACAATATTTACTATCATTATCTATTACCATGGTTACAGGCTGTAAACATGGCTATCACCATTGACTGGTTTCCTGTTCATACAGACATTATTTGATCCGCTCATACCTGCAGTTTTATGTGCGATTTAAATAGCAAATCTGTGAAAAAAATCACGGTTGTCAATCTCAAACGCTGATTTTGTGAATGTAGCCATAGTTTAACAAAAACGTCCATTGGGATTTTTTGTTTCACATTTTATGACTTTTTCTTGCGGCGAAGATTTCTTATTTTAAGTGTGCTATTACAAAATGCTTTGGTGAATGAAATACATTCTCCTCTTACCGGCTTTCTGTCTGAAAGCAAGAGTGAAGTCCCACTAAGAATGGATTGGTCGATGCTTGTTCAAACACGTGTTTCTCTGTCTGGACCCAGTCAATGTCCTACACCAGAAAAAAAAAAAGAGAGAGAGAGAGAGAGAGAGAGAGAGAGAGAGAGAGAGAGAGAGACATTTGCCTTATCATGAATAATCAACTGCAAATGATCATGACAGGAATCTGTTTCACTGCTTTCTAAGAACTAGAGGAGAGGACATTATGTTTCACCGCCTCTACTGGGGGACTATTTCAGGATAAAGAAAAAAACAAGCCTGTGTTTTCTGAGAAAAGCCTCATCTATTGATCGTTTAACAGCGGAAAACACTTGGCACTATTGCATGCTGTCACTTTGGGGAGTCAAATCTCAGATTTAAAAGAAGAAAAGCACCTTTCTCTTCTTCTTTAAAAAGTGCAGAAAGGAAAGACAACAGAGAAAAGAGAAACAGACATGTAAATAAATCACAAGATAAGCCAATAAAGGTATATATTGTACAGTATCTTTCAAATGTACACCACTTTCGTTTCACAGAACCGTCCAGACAGGATGTTACAAAACATCTGTATTGAGAATGTCTCTGGGTGTGAAGACACAGCTCAGCAATGTGTTGATAAAGTCAAGTATTTTTGTTCTGTCAACACTTTAACATTAAGCAACACTTGTAATCAGCTCAAAGAACTCCAGAGAACGTCTGTTACTCAACAACTAAAGTTGAAAAATGACAGTGAACGTCTTTTGAGAGGCTACGGGTGAAATGAGATCTCAGCCCAAACAAACACTTTGTTTTTCTATCATGTCTGGACGTTTTCATTGGCGAATACTGTTTTTAAACCAAGCTAATGATGTTTTCTATTCCCTGACCTTATACTTAACACTAACAGAAACCTGTATGGATTTTTAGATTTTAATTAGCATGTTTAGTATGTTAAGTGGTTTTCCTCATGGGACTTTTGGCCCCATGATGTAGGCAAAACTTTACACACACACACACACACACACACACACACACACACACACACACACACACACAGTCTGATTTCCAAAACCAGAACAATTTAATTTCCTGGACGAGTGGAAAGCAGATTACAGGAAAGCAGTGTCAGCATAAAGAGATGAAGAGAAACAGATGATATACGTATATATTGTATGTTAATTTTCTCTCTTCCTACATTTCTCCATCTTTCTTTGTTTTCTTTCTCTATCTCCATCTTTCTCCCCTCAATGGAATAGCCAATCGTAATATTTGTCTTGTCAAATAACAGTTATCTACTGACCTCTGACCTCTAACATAGTATGTTTCCAGTATAATGCATTATTTTATTATCATTGAGATACTATTATTTATTTTAGTAAATGTTGTTGTATTTTATTGTTAATGTCTATATCGTTTTTTTATCATTATTTATTTCACTTTTAGTTTGAGTTATTTTACTACATCAAGTTAAACTGAACAAAAGTGAGAAATGTTGCTTTTCTAATACGTTTCTGTTTTTTATACTATTAACTATTCAGTTAATGTTTATTTTAATGACATTTTTAACTTTTTTATTTTTGGTTAACTATAATAAACCTTATTGTAATCGACAAATAACATGGGCATTAATTCATTCATTAATTTTGTTCATCATCAGGAATTTAAGCTCAAATTAATATGAATGTATTATAGGGAAGTGTATTTTAAGTACTGTGACTAGTCAGCATTTTTCTAAGTTTTTTAGCGTTTTTAATTTTTAACCACTTTAATAGTCTGCAGTTTATTCATGCACAAATCTCTCTCTCAATTCATATGAGGTGCATAAATGCATATATGATAATCAGATAAGAATTTGAAAAATGTTGTCTAAAATAATTTAAATGAAATAAAAAAACGGATAGTTCCAGTCCTGGATGCTGACGGGTCAATACAGCATTCTAGCCAAGCTAAAATACCGGTAAACACAATAGTAGCAGTTATGATGCAAAACACATGTTTGACCAATAGCTATGGAGCATTATACGTATATTACTGCGCAGTATCCATAGAGAAAAAAATATTATCCTTAGTTTACTTGTAATGTTTTATTTTTTGTAACGCCTTTATAGAAGCAAAAGACTTTAAATGTAAGACTTTAAGACCTTATTAAGACAAATAAAATTAATACATTATTCCCATACATAATAAACTCATACAATCTCAAAATAAATCATATACCCCAGATTCTTTTACTTAACATTAATCAAGAACTTAATATTAGCAAAATAGGGTTTAAAATACTCTAGACATATTTGATTTAATATATACTTATGCACTGGAATTGGTATATGTACTAATATATCAATAGTATACATATGGATTGGGTTATGCTAATAGGATAATAATGTGTTTAAAGAAAGGCAATAAAAAGGTTATTGTTCTGCAGCAGCACCAAGTTTTGACTTTAAACATGCAGCGCTCACATTTATTTAGTTCCATCATAACCTTTTGAAAGTTAATAATACGATTCCTGTATTTCGGTCCACACAACCTCTTCAGACCTCTTAAAATTATAAGTAACACTTCTGTTATACCATTTGAGAATTTTAATGACCTTAAGTTTGATTAAACTGTCTTTAAGACATTTTAAGACTTTTTTTTTTTTAACCAGCAGGGATCCATGTTGTGAATGTAGTCAAAGTTTAAGGGGTTGAACAACACTCTATGTGACTATATTTACAATATAACACATATGTTATTGCTTACGTACAGCATGTCAAACTGCAATTTGTTGCATAAAAAGCCAAACTGAGTGCATCATTAAATTGCCTCATTAAGCCTTAATAAGTGTGACTGCACAACATACATACACAGAACACACATGTACAGTACATTATAAGAAAAGGAGAACACATTCCTTGAAGGAACGCCTGCCTTCCAGGAAGCAATTACATTGTTTGTGCATATCCAGAGTTCAACTGCATGTCTCTGTCATTCTGGAAGGACCTCTGCTCTTCGTGAACTTCATTCATGTGCGTTAGCTGACAGCCATGTGGCTTTATGTTCCTGAGCGAGCCAAGTTTACAAAGACACAATAGCTTTGACTGTACAGAGTTTACATTGTGATGAATAGCTGTAGAGTTCAGTTTGTCTTTCTATGTGATGCCTGTTCACACATATCAGGTTTCAGTACAGGGAGAGAAAGAAAGAAAGAGATTTCTCTTTGATTTTACAAACAAAACAAAAAGTCTCTCAATGTTATATTGTGCTTTTTAGAATAAAGTCAAATCCCACTGCATTTAAAGGTTATATTAAATTAATAAATACACTAATATTCAAAAGTTTGGGGTCTATACGATTTTGTAATATTTTTGAAAGAAGTCTCTTATGTTCATTATGGCTGCATTTAATCAAATATACAGCAAAACAGTAATATTGTTAAATATAATTGCAATTTAAAACCAACTCTTTTCTGTTTTAATATATTTTAAAATGTAATTTAATCCTGTGATGTAAAACTACATTTTCAGCATCAATACTCCAGTCTTTAGTGTCACATGACCCTTCAGAAGTCATTCTAATAACCTGTTTTGATGCTCAAGAAGCATTTCTTATTATCATCAATGTTGAAATCAGGTATTTTTGTGGAAACTGCAATCCATTTTTTTTTTCAGGATTCTTTGATGAATAGAACGTATAAAAGTGTTTAATTTTTTTTTTTAATTCTTTAAAAATTATACTAACCCCAAACTTTTGAACGATAATGTAAATAAATAAATAAAATTACATTTCTTACTGCATTAGAATAAAAAACTATATATACACTCAACTATATAAAAAGTTTAATATGATATCAATTCTAACATTTTTCAAAGTGAAATTAATCATCAAGATTCTAAATATACAAAAAGCTATTTCTTTTCTCTGAAAATTGAATGTGGGTGTAAACAGGTTGCTTTCTTTTTTTACAGTCTATGGTTGCTTTTAAAACAGAATGACACATTTAATGATGTTGTGACAAAGTGAGTAATCTAACTCTCTATTATAGAAATTAGCTATCATTCCAAAATAGTAATTTTTCATTTATTTCTCTTATTATTTGCAGAAGTCTCCTTTTATATTTTATTTTATTGTATTTATTTAATTATTTTAACGCCATGCTCATTGATGAGCTTAATTTGGCTCCTAAAACTATAATGCGGACACAAGAAAAATTTAAAAATATATAATTAGCAGGCAAACAGTCTGATATCCAATAAGAACAAAGTGCCTTTATCTTTAGTATGAATAAACTTGTGAAAACCACTGAAGATGAACTGCGAGCGATTTAAAATGAGCGCAATCCCACAGCACCACCTACTGGTGTCAACTACACAACAATCACACGTCCAAACTAGGAGAACTTCCTGCATTTCCCCAGATCTGTGAGGTGCAGCAAAGACACTGAGACACCATGATAAAACTGAAGAAGTCTCATCAGCATGACAACACAGGCTGTTACCTCATCATCATGGACCAGCTCTTTCTTCACCACCTTCATGGCGTAAATCTGTTCGTTCTTCTTGAGTCGGACCAGCAGCACTTTAGCGTAACTGCCCCTCCCGATGACCCGGATCATGTCAAAGTCCCCCAGGCCGAGACACTGAGAGATCTGAATCCCCTCGATCCCGTCCACCACCGCCTTCAGATCCTGCGCGCACACACAGCGGAAACCTTTTGTCCAAACTGTTATAACATTTCTCTTGGACAAACTCGAAAATGGTGCAGACATACAATGAGGTTTCATGTTACATGCATTCCTTTAAACAGTATATATCAAGAATGTTAGCAAGAGCATTTGTATATGATTATCAGTGAATGAAACCTCGTGGAAATTTGGGATAATCAGTTATGAGCTGCGTCTTACCTCGGTGTCATCTTCAGCTTTCTCCACTTTCCGGTTGTGTGCTAAGAAAGGGACTGGAACTGAGAGACAGAGAAAGAGAGACTTTCTTATTATTTTCTTGTCCTTTACATTTTTGTTCTGTAGTGTTATTCATTGAATCTTTCTTTTTTAAATATTCTATATATAAATATTGTCTTTTGAACTTACGTTTGCCATTTTTTTCACACTGTTTCCTAAAGTTCACAGCAATTGGATAAGCAAGTCTGATTCATTATAGTGAATTATAGTGAATTGGTTCATTTAGAATAAAATATATATATATATATATATATACACTCACCGGCCACTTTATTAGGTACACCTGTCCAACTGCTCGTTAACACTTAATTTCTAAGCAGCCAATCACATGGCGGCAACTCAGTGCATTTAGGCATGTAGACATGGTCAAGACAATCTCCTGCAGTTCAAACCAAGCATCAGTATGGGGAAGAAAGTTGATTTGAGTGACTTTGAACGTGGCATGATTGTTGGTGCCAGAAGGGCTGGTCTGAGTATTTCAGAAACTGCTAATCTACTGGGATTTTCACGCACAACCATCTCTAGGGTTTACAGAGAATGGTCCGAAAAAGAAAAAACATCCAGTGAGCGGCAGTTCTGTGGGCGGAAATGCCTTGTTGATGCCAGAGGTCAGAGGAGAATGGCCAGACTGGTTCGAGCTGATAGAAGGGCAACAGTGACTGAAATAACCACTCGTTACAACCGAGGTATGCAGCAAAGCATTTGTGAAGCCACAACACGCACAACCTTGAGGCGGATGGGCTACAACAGCAGAAGACTCCACCGGGTACCACTCATCTCCACTACAAATAGGAAAAAGAGGCTACAATTTGCAAGAGCTCACCAAAATTGAACAGTTGAAGACTGGAAAAATGTTGCCTGGTCTGATGAGTCTCGATTTCTGTTGAGACATTCAGATGATAGAGTCAGAATTTGGCGTAAACAGAATGAGAACATGGAACCATCATGCCTTGTTACCACTGTGCAGGCTGGTGGTGGTGGTGTAATGGTGTGGGGGATGTTTTCCTGGCACACTTTAGGCCCCTTAGTGCCAATTGGGCATTTTTTAAATGCCACGGCCTACCTGAGCATTGTTTCTGACCATGTCCATCCCTTTATGGCCACCATGTACCCATCCTCTGATGGCTACTTCCACCATGTCACAAAGCTCTAATCATTTCAAATTGGTTTCTTGAACATGACAATGAGTTCACTGTACTAAAATGGCCTCCACAGTCACCAGATCTCAACCCAATAGAGCATCTTTGGGATGTGGTGGAACGGGAGATTCGCATCATGGATGTGCAGCCGACAAATCTGCGGCAACTGTGTGATGCCATCATGTCAATATGGACCAAACTCCCTGAGGAATGCTTCCAGCACCTTGTTGAATCTATGCCACGAAGAATTGAGGCAGTTCTGAAGGCAAAAGGGGGTCCAACCCGTTACTAGCATGGGGTACCTAATAAAGTGGCCGGTGAGTGTATATATATATATTATTTTGCTGCATCACTCAGAAATAAGAATAAAATAATAATAATTATCAGCAATAATTATAACAATAATAATTATTAATATTATTCATTTATATATTAAGAGAGGATGGGAGAAAGTTTTTCAATAAAACAAAAAACAAAAATTGAATTTCCCATTTAAGTTTCACAGCAGTTTGAATTGGTTGGTCTAATTCGTGAACTGGTCCTTTCAGACATTTCATTTCAATGCAGGAGTAAAAAAAGATTAATTAATCAGTTTGATGCATCACTGAGAAATAATAATACTTCTCAGCAATTATTATTATTATATAAATCTATATATTAGGAGAGGATAGAAGAAAGTTTTTTAACATTGGAAATAATGACTTTTTCCCTTTAAATTTCACAGCAATTGGATTGGGAAGTTTAATCCTTTTCATTATAGTGAATTGGTTTATGCAGACAGTTCATTTTATTGCAGTAGTTCAAAATGTTGTATGTTAAAGGCACAAGATAGATTTTAGTAGCAGTGTGCATTGTTGGATTTACCGGTTTAAATTGAAATTTTCTTATTTGCAAATTACAGTTTTATACTGTTTTTATTCTGTAAATATATTTACATTTGTACTGTATTTTTTACAGAATTATTCTGGCAACCACAGCTGCCAGGATTTTTTGTTGTTGTAAATAATCGGGATTAGTTCGATTCATCACTCAGAAAAGTTCTCAAAAAACATTTTACACTAAAATACATTGTATGTTTTGAATTAGATTGAAATGTTGTTTTTTTGTTCTAAACCTAGCTTACAGTATAACCCCCAAACAAAGTTCCCCCTTACAGTTGAATCACTTCCAAAAGTTTTGAAATTAGTGTTAAATGCCCCATTATGCTTTTTTAAATATTACCTCTCATGTAGTGTGTAATATAGTAGCTGCTTGTGAATGTAAAATGTCTGCAAAGTTATAAAGGTCAAAGAGCACAACAGATAAAGTTATTGTCTCCTAAAAGAAAGAATCGACTCTGAACTGAACTGAAACGAATCGTCAGCATATCCTCCTGTCTAAGGCCGGAGACACACTGGCTGCGTGGCGTGAGCGTGGCGTTTCTGTTGCGTGTCAGCTGCGTGGCGGCTGCGTCGCGTTTTCTGTGTCTTTGCACACCAGAAGCGTGTCTGACGCGGCGCTGCGTGGCGTACACGAATACATATTCGCTATATGTGACATAGAGGGAGGGCGCTGACAGACCAGTCTACATTTGGATTACTGTTGCTCTTGCCTTTACGACATCAATTTCAACTTTTATCACGCATCTTCCAAAATCCGAAAAATAGGGAAACATGCGGCTGTCTGTTTATTTCAATAACATTTACAAATTTTGTGTAGCTTTAAAGATCCTATATTTAGCCTACCTGATGTTGGACCGTCACTCAGAAGACACACTACGATGTTATTGTAGCCTATCCTAACTTTATATCCTCCTGAGGCCCAGAAAGTTTTTTTCAAAGAATTATTTTGATTTTTTTTCATGTAATCACATTGTTAAGATCATTAGAAACAAATGAAAATATTTATAGGCTATATTTTATTCATATGCTATGACCTGTAGTGGACACCAGGACTCGACTGTTTAAAAAATAAAATGACATGAAATTATATAGGCAAAAATAATGGGATTAAAAAAAAAAGACATTTATATCTGAATTTATGTCAAAACCTAGATTTTCAAACATCAAAATGTAATTTATTAATATGTATTCGTGTACAAAATGACATATAAACATCTTTTCCTATACTATTTTGCCTGCAAACGCTTCCAACACGCTTGCGTGTCGCGTGAAAAATAGGCGTCGGTTCTATTTCTAGCATGCACGCGTTTTCCGCGCGGCTCATGCCGCGCCTGAGACGCGCGTGTCACGCAGGCAGTGTGCAAGCTCTAACCTGTTAACATGGGAGCCGAAATAAAAACGGACACGCCACGCAGCCAGTGTGTCTCCGGCCTTACTTCCTGTTACATACATACGTAACAATGTAACAAATTTGTACAGCGCCAGCCTATGGTCTTCATTGGCTGCCCGAGAATGACATGTACTTTGACCCGCCCTAAAACACTGTAGATGTAGCTGACACCTGGAAGAGTTTGGTTCGTGTTGCTGACATGTGAAAAAGACACTGTTTTCTGCGCTGTGAATCAACTTTGCACGCACTTCAAAAAGATACGGAAAAACCGGCGCCATCGTTCCTTTCGATTCCACTGTGCAAGCACTGAGGAAGCCTCCAGAGCTGAAATTCAGATATGGGAATGGACGTTTTGTTTTCAACACGTGCTGTAAGAGGTAGACCAATCATAAAAGACTGGGCCATCTGACCAATCAGAGCAGAGTAGGCTCTCGGCAAGGAGGGGTTTAGAGAGACTGAAGCTTCGAACGAACCATTTTCAGTCTCTTTGAGAAATTAGGTGATGTGCAATGTATATTATGAGAAATTTCAAGTGTTTTTTGACCTTGGGTGAATTGTAAACCTATTGTAGAAGACCTCCAAAACAAAATGAGGAACCTTTAAAATGGCACAATAGGGGCACTTTAAATTAATCAAATTCAAAATAACAATTTCCTTTCACAAATCACTCATGTTTAATGTGTAATGCTATAAGATTCCAGCAGGGGGAGCCACAGACTGGACTGTCGCTCTCTTTCTCTCTCTCTCAACTGGGTCAATGTGACTTTACTCACACCTGATGTACAACAGTATCCTACCACAGTCAGCAGTGACCTCTGACAGATAGAGGACAGAATGACCCCAATACCCACACAAAAACAGCATTCACACATGCACACAGCGGAGATGGAGACCTACTTGTGTCTGTTTCTTCAGGGTCCTCAGGGGGGAGCTCCACTTCCTCTCCGCTTTTATCATCATCTACCAACGGCTCCTGTGATGGCATGACTGGATCCTGCAGAGAAAAAACAGACGATACGGGCAAGGTATTTTTCAAATGTCTTTTTTCCCTCTCCTCTTTGAGGCTCCAAATCAGAATCTCACTTATCCCAACATGAAATCAAAACCTATTTACTTTCTTAATAAAGGTCCCCTGTGCAAGAGATGTATAAATATTTTCATTATCATTTATCAAAATCGAATAACTTTCTCTACCTCTGAAATGAATTTTCTTATCTGTTGACATAACAAAAAATTATGTTAACCAACAATATCACAGTTTGCTCTACACGATCCAATTAAAACTTAATACCGGTAGATAAAATGATTCTATGTTCTACATTATTTCCCACTGAATACTGTTTCACAAAATGTCATATTTTGAAATGTTTATGAGACCTTTCAAACGACCACAAAAAGAAAACATATCAAGCAGACAATTATTATCAACATATTATCGATATATTAATATAATATATAATTATATAACAATAATAATATAACAATGTTTCCAATTCTATAACAAAGGAAAATTTTAAACCAGATAGATAGATAGATAGATAGATTTTAGTTATTGCTAAGTATTCTCAGTCAAAACTCGAGACCATAAATGTGTAACAACAAAATTATGACAAACATTTGAGAGAAAGATAGAGAGAGAAAAAGAACTATAATGAAAGGAGGCAGGCGAATGACAGAATGTCTTCACAAAATGAGGATAAAGTCAGACTGTAAAGCTCATCAGTTTTGGGTTCTGTTTGAAAAACATCGGATGTAGGAAATCGGATGTCTGATGTCTTCTGTCATGTAAATAAATCAGGAGTACAATGTTGAATTTCATACTGAATTTCTGACATACAGAAACCCCTGCAGAAACATTTCTTGCAGAAGGTGGTGTTGTGAAGATGTTTAATGTTACAGTTTTTCAGTCTATGATTTCGACATTCTGTCTAAGCACAGAATCAGGTCAATTCAATACTGACAAGACAGTGTTATCATCTGACAAATTCCACAAGGGCTATCAATCCAACAACACTCTTGAGAAGTGAGAAGAGAGGAAAAAGTCAATAAAACATTACAATGAAACAGTAATGAGCTTCTCAACAGTGGAGGATGTGCTTATTTGAATGAAATGACAAATACAATAAAAAATATTTTTACATTTTGCAAGTACATTTTTTCACTTCTTTATGCTTTCAAGTCTGACTTCATTTGAATGAAGACTCTCAGTGACAAAAGACAGATGATGAATATTTTTAGAGCTGACTAAAAGACTCACCATATGCCTTTGACAGGTCAGTGAGACGAGCTTGTGACAGCGTTTATGGACCAGAAGCTTGCAGTTGATACACTTGTAGCCCTGACGCCCCAGTCCCCATATCCTCTCGCTGCAGTGGCCACAGTACGCTTTCTGAGAGAGACACAGACACACACAACTACTGAAGTTACACTATCGTTATCTATGATCAGTTTAGCAAGTCGAAACACTTCATGAATGAGTTAATCTGTTAACAACAGACTTAAGTAAACTGTGAAAGAAAAAAGGGATGTCTTACAGATATCACATGAGTAGATGGCACACATGAGCTGAGTAATGAATTCTGAATTCAAATTAAGTTGAAATAAAGCACAATGACGTGAACACTACTGTTCAGAAGTTTGGGGTTTTAATTAAAACATTTTTTTTATTCAGCAAGGATGCACTAATTGATCAAAAGTGACAATAAAATTTTTTTAAAATAAAAATAAATTATAAGTTATTCTAAATTGCAATAATATTTCACAATATTACCATGCTTTATTGTATTTCTGATCAAATAAATGCAGCTTTGGTAAGCATTGGAACTGTATGCAAAGTAAATATCAAACATTTCTGACAGGACGTTGGTCAGATAAATATACCGCATACTTGTATTATTTACATTTTATGTATTGCTAAACACATTCTAGATGACACACACTCAGCATCTACACACTTAAAGCCTAGCTAATGATTTCAACAGATTTTGTTTAAAACCCAAGCTCGGCAGATCAGAGGACTCTGCTGACTGCTGTAACCAACAATAAGGTTTCAAAAGAACACACACACCCACACCTGCTCACACACATGCCCTGTGAGTCACAAATAAATGAAAATATCTTTAGCTCAGTTTGTTGTGAGGTTCTCGATCTATCTGCGGGTGAGAGCAAGAGCAAGAGACTGAAAGGGACACAATGTTACAGTAAAAACTGCTATATAAAAGCATGATAGAAATACAGTAAATAATACCGGTCAAAACTGTGGAATGATTTGCAAAATAAATACAGAAAAGGGGGACATTGGAAAGACCAAGAAAGATGGCACAAGTCTCCTGTGCATGTGATATGCAAACCGTCCACCAGGGGGCTCTAACAGCAGGACTTCAGTGCTACGTGTAGCATAATCCTATTAAAATATGCTAATCTTTCATTAACGGACATGCTCTTCCACTGACAGTTTCCCCTCTCTGCCATAGCTGATATCTGGTTTAACGGACCTTCAACAAACCCCTCAGAGAAGGACTCAGTGGATATAAGATGCTCTTCTTGTCAGTGCTTGACGTTTCCTCCGTGTTCCTCGACTCTATTTCACAGCTCTGTGAGCATATCATGATCCCTGTGCTGCCGGTGAGGTTTTAGACAACACTTTCTCACCATCTAAGGAGATGTTCACCTGCTGCAGTGATTTCTCTGTATCTTTGAAGCCTCCAGCCCTGATGAATGACCTACATTTTCTTAGCGCTTTCTGTCAGGTGCTCAGTTTATGTAACTGCGGTTAAACGTTCGGAAATCAGGGCTTGAAAGTAGCACACATCATCTAAAGCTTGAAGCTGGCACCGGGAAATACACACGTTCCTTATGATTAGGGATGGGAATAGTAAAGAGTTGAACCGTTCTGGTTCATCAATGATTCCATTAACAATTCTTTTAGTACATGAAAGGAATAAATATTAGGGGGGAAAAAAGATATGCAATTCCATTACCAAATGATGACATATACATGACTATATACAGTAACTATTTTTGTGTTTTTACAGACTTTTAAATGACTTTTCAATGTTCTATTTTTTTAATAGTAGCCTACTTGCATAATGTATAATGTGAACCTAACCATGTCAAAGTAACAAGTCAGTCACAATGATTTACAGTTAGTTGTAAGCTATATGTTTGATTCACTAAAAAAGAACCAGCTCATAAGAGAATATTTTAGTATGCTGATATGTACATACAAAAACTGTTAACAAAACCAAGTTAGTCAGTTTGTGGAGCAGCGACTTATCTGAAATCCAGCCGCTTATCAAGACCTAATCTTTTGCTTTTTGTTGAACAAGCACAAAAAAACTTCCTGTGTTTCTTGACAGAGAAAGAAGTATTAAATTTCCCAACGCGTCTTGTTTTATTTCCGACCAAAATCTCAGGATCTTCCTCAAGGACGACTAGAAGGCAGCATTGGCAACACCCATCAGCAGGAAATTATCAAAGAACAAGATCATGAGTTCACCTGAAGCTATATGCACTGATTCTGTGCCGTTATTCTTAGAAATCATATAAACATCTCTTTCTTCTCTCCCCCTTTCGCATCTGAATCCCAGCACAGCTTCCACCCCATGGACTTTTTGAACATATCGAGCCAGCGCTGCTAAGCAAACGCAGTGCCAGAGAAACAATGTGTATCTGCACCCATTTAAAACACATCAAGTCTGCACGTATCGGGCTTCCATTCAGGACAGTGGATTAAACTTTAAACCCAACCAATTGTCCCCAACAAAAAGCAAACATTTAACACAGCTGAGCGAAAGGGGCCTTCAGGGCCGAGCGTGTGCACCACGTATCCCAGATACAGCAGGAATATCATGGGAATGTAAAGCAAGACCCATACTCTGAAGATTTGAAAATACTACTACTGTCACTGATGACTGAATACAGCTACTGAAACTTCTGAATAAGCCTTTGTTTGTGTTGTTGTTGTTGTGATTATTCAGCTGAAAAAAGGAAATAGACTGAGAAAAGCAACAAAAACATTGTTCAGAATTCAACATTATGCATATATGATCAGCATGTTTACATACCAACCTATATGGTAATGAGTATTGTAGTGTGGGTGTTGTTAATCTTTAATCTCTTCAATATGCAGAGAGTTTAGCCAATCACGACAGATGTAATTTGCATAAAAAGGTATACAGCCTGTTTAACTCTTAATGTCAGAGAAAGGGTGAAAAATAGTCTTTCAAAACTAATTACGACTGTTCTTGGTGCAAAAGCTCTTGACTAAAATTATAATTGGACTTCAGAAAAGAAAATAGGATTGAAATGAATTTGGCATCTTGAAATCTGAAGTATAAGTGGGTTGGACAGAGTAATGTCCCAAATGACAAGAGAACAGCTTATTTCTAGCCTTTTTCAATTTCACTTTCAATAAAGCAGTTTTTGAATTAAGTTTGTCAATCTATTCAAATGTATTAATTAATTACATAATATGCAGACTTAGTGCAATTAATCACAAATATCAATATTTGCTAATAAACAAATAAAGCTAATTTAAAGAAAGTGGTACAATATTTTGTTGCCATAATGAATTAATTATACTAAATTAACACCTTAAATCGACAGCTCAGTTGTCGCAAATGAAGACAAGAGAACATTTCTAGCCTTTATCAATTTTCACTTTCAATAAAGCTGTTTTTGAATGAAGGCTGTCAATCGAATAACTTTTTAAAATAAATGAATAACATAATATGCAGATTAATTAAGTGAACAAATCGCAATTAAGCAAAAATATCAAAATTGTATAAAACATAAATGCAAAAAAATTCAATAAATAAATCAAACAGACAAATCAATAAATAAATTCCAAAGAAAGAAGATAAATCAAAGACATTATTGTGGCAGATGAGTAAAGTATAAATGAGCAAATAGACAAAAAGTGCATGGTCAATATATATTGTTTCCATAGGGTTAGTTCGCCCATTTAAGACATGAAGTTGTATGCAATCCTTACCAGCACTACACTCACCTAAAGGATTATTAGGAACACCTGTTCAATTTCTCATTAATGCAATTATCTAATCAACCAATCACATGGAAGTTGCTTCAATGCATTTAGGGGTGTGGCCCTGGTCAAGACAATCTCCTGAACTCCAAACTGAATGTCAGAATGGGAAAGAAAGGTGATTTAAGCAATTTTGAGCGTGGCATGGTTGTTGGTGCCAGACGGGCCGGTCTGAGTCTTTCACAATCTGCTCAGTTACTGGGATTTTCACCCACAACCATTTCTATGGTTTACAAAGAATGGTGTGAAAAGGGAAAAACATCCAGTATGCGGCAGTCCTGTGGGCGAAAATGCCTTGTTGATGCTAGAGGTCAGAGGAGAATGGGCCGACTGATTCAAGCTGACAGAAGAGCAACTTTGACTGAAATAACCACTCGTTACAACCGAGGTATGCAGCAAAGCATTTGTGAAGCCACAACACACACAACCTTGAGGCGGATGGGCTACAACAGCAGAAGACCCCACCGGGTACCACTCATCTCCACTAGAAATAGGAAAAAGAGGCTACAATTTGCAAGAGCTCACCAAAATTGGACAGTTGAAGACTGGAAAAATGTTGCCTGGTCTGATGAGTCTCGATTTCTGTTGAGACATTCAGATGGAAGAGTGAGAATTTGCCGTAAACAGAATGAGAACATGGATCCATCATGCCTTGTTACCACTGTGCAGGCTGGTGGTGGTGGTGTAATGGTGTGGGGGATGTTTTCTTGGCACACTTTAGGCCCCTTAGTGCCAATTGGGCATCGTTTAAATGCCACGGCCTACCTGAGCATTGTTTCTGACCATGTCCATCCCTTTATGGCCACCATGTACCCATCCTCTGATGGCTACTTCCAGCAGGATAATGCACCATGTCACAAAGCTCGAATCATTTCAAATTGGTTTCTTGAACATGACAATGAGTTCACTGTACTAAAATGGCCCCCACAGTCACCAGATCTCAACCCAATAGAGCATCTTTGGGATGTGGTGGAACGGGAGCTTCGTGCCCTGGATGTGCATCCCACAAATCTCCATCAACTGCAAGATGCTATCCTATCAATATGGGCCAACATTTCTAAAGAATGCTTTTAGCACCTTGTTGAATCAATGCCACGTAGAATTAAGGCAGTTCTGAAGGCGAAAGGGGGTCAAACACAGTATTAGTATGGTGTTCCTAATAATCCTTTAGGTGAGTGTATAGTGCATACACACTGACCCACTCTGTTGTCACCTCCCTGGTCAGAGTTCTGGCCGCTGGAAGTTTTTCAATAAAGTACTCCCGGTTATTTTCCGGGGCCACAAAACTGTGCGTTTTTACATGAAAAAAATTATTTGCGTTTCAAAGCTTGATTAATTTACCA